TTGATGTACTTTCTCTTAAAAATGGGTCATTTTGGGGGGTAAGTTGCCCTTTAAAACTCGTACTCGTACTCGATCTCGTACTCGTCGTCGGATCTAAAGGTCGCTATTCACCAGTCGACATACAATTTCGGTACGGCTCTTGTGAAGTTCGACGTCTGACCCTAGCCTTAGTAACAAATAATCTTGGGTATTTAAGATATTGCAGCAGTTAAAAAAGAAATATTGGTTTAACTAAGGGTTTTAAAGTTTCGTTTTTTTCCTTCCTTTTATTTCCTTGCTTTTTCTTTCTTTCACTTTGGTTTTCGTTTCCTCATTTGTTGTTTTTTAAGTGTTTTCTTCCCTTGTGGTCTATTCCATAATACCAACATTTATTCTAACACCTGAACCAGTGCGACAAACGTCTCAAAACCCCCCAGCGTTTTCTCTCAATAACTCCTAAACAAATATATGCAATTACAGCATTTCCCGGCTTCTATCCAATTTATTTCAAAAACGATCATATTGAATGTGTTAGAAAATTACGCCCAATCGATATTAGTTAGCATTTGATCACCTTTCCGGCAAAAGAAAAATGCTGTACTCTATTTTTACAGTTTTTTCAGTGGCATCTTTTCTGATGATCATATCAAGCTGCTTGGGAAGTCAACAAGAAATTCGTTTTCAAGCAGCAAACACATCCATAATGAGAGATCCCGAAACCGGGCTAAACTTTGCTGTCTTCAACAAACACGAGCACAAATACCTCAATGTGACGCCATTTTCAGTAATCTCTGTAAAAAATCCAAAAATCTGCCAAGTGACTTGCGTTGGAAACAGAAAATGTTTGTCGTTCAATCTGGAGGTCAAGCAGAATGGGGAGAGGCGGAGATGTGAGCTCTTTTCTACGGACATATTCAACTCGTCGCAGCATTTCATCAGTGATGCAAACTTCGTACATTTCAGTATTAAGGTAATCCTTCAGCACAATATTTTTTATTTCGAAAGCTCTTTTTCTTTAATGCAAGAAGGAAAAACAAGGTTTTAAAATCGCGATTTAGCAAAGCTTCATGATATCTACACAAGAACGGAATGTAAAGTTTAGCCAATATTTATATGACTTTTATTGTAAAATGAAAAATAACTTTTCCCCTTGAAATGAATGATCGTGAATGTACTTTACTTTGACACAGAGGGCTTATAACTGCATTCGCAGGACTTGTCGGCAGATAAGTTTAAAATTAGTTTCCTAAATATAACTTATTCTGTCTGAGGCTCGAAATATATTTCCCTGTTACACAGTCCAACTTTCAGCAATGATAAAAAAAAGTGAAAATCTTAAAAGGTTTAGTTTCAGACTGGTACGTTGCTAGCCTCCCCCACAGCCGCTTTCAGTTTCGTCACGCAACGCTTTCTCCTATGAGTAGCTACTCAGGGGAGAAAGCGTTGCTTGACGACACTGAAAGCTGCTGTGGGGGAGACTACTACGTGGCCAAACTGCATGGAGATAAATAACGAAAGCCGTTACATAAGACTATTGCATTGCGTTTGAATCTAGAAAATTTGATCACGGATGAAAGTATTTTATAAAAATACAATTTTTTCATGATGAGTAGCTCTACAATAAATATGAGATTAAAGCAACAAGCGTCGATCTTGGCTAGGTTTCCATGACATTAATGATAATAATAAAAACAAACGAATAGTATTCGATAAAAATTAGCTTGTAGAAACAAAATTCTTATTCTTAACATATTTACCACTTACATTTTCTCCACTTTTTTTACGGTTTTTAAAGGTAGAAAAACGTAACTACTTCTTTTAAGCAACATTCCATCTTTGTCATTATATTTTTAACAAGCACAAAATATATATATGTGTGTGTGTGTGTGTGTGTGATACAACATCGATAATACTTTCCTTTTTTTGTAAATGTGGTAATAAGAAATAAACTCAATTATCAATCAGATTACCTAATCTATAGTAATTCACATTGCGAAAAGATCTAGGTTTCCTAATAACATTGAATCAAAACGGTTTTGACTTCTCATAGCTGTCACTTTCATAAAATAGCCTTTATTTCGTTGTCATTCGTTTATTTGTTTTCGGATAGAGATGAAAAAGGAGACTGGGAATCTCTTTGTGGGTGCATTGTACGTTTCATTTATTATTAATTGTGAGAGAAACATTGGGGGAAAAAATAATTGTCGCTGACAGATTTAAAAAGGGACTTCATGAGCACAAATCGAACTTCTAGCTCAAACTGAACAAAGACCACGACTCCAGGAATTAAGATTGTAATACTGTATTTACGATAATATTTGAAAATGTTAAAGCAAAGATCGAGTTTACATCTTGAATAATTGATAACGACTAGTGGTAACTTAGTCTGGGCATTCGTGGGTGTTTTGAAAATCAAAAAGTAAAGATTATCGAAGGAATTATTTTAAAAATACCGTGAATTAGTGTACACTGACGTTTTGCGAAATGAGGAGGCATTTATAGTTATTTGTTGTTCCTCGTAACTCGAAACACCGGCTTCTATGTGAAAACTAACTTGCAATAATTTCGATAAGAGCAATGGGAAAAACAATGACGCATTCCAAATTTTATTTATGTGTGCCAGTAATGTTTTGTATGTTAAATGATTACTTCTTATACGTCACAGCATTAGCATATGGCATGGAAAAACCTTTATAATTTCAAGAAGCCGCACTCAAAGTATGAAATATTTTCGGGTTATTCCACATCTTACCCCATGTAGAATCAATACTGTGAATATTGTCAGAAGGGTGATAGGCACTTCACTTTAACCAAAGTGAAATAGGAAAATAAATTATTGCAACCTAGGAAAGTGCGCTGTATAAATCAGTTTATACGAATACGAATTTGTATCTTTTTTATTTGCGCGTTTATACGTTTATTTGTTTTATAGGGGGAGGAGTTTTTTTTTGGGGGGGGGGGGGGGGGTCAGAGCCCCCCACCCCCTCCCCTCCCCAGCTCCTAGGTTCTTGCTACGCCCCTGCAGTTAGTTGTCGTTGTCGTCGTAGATGTTGCAAATTTTAAGGTCACTATTATTAATTCTAACACAGCATAAGCCAAAAGCAAAGCAATAGAGTTAGAAATAAAACATCAGGGGCATTAAAAAGCGAACTGATACCGTAAATACATTATGGCAAGAGAAAATAAACTAAGAGAAGGAACCCCCGTGCCCCATCATGTGCACATTTTGATGCTATTTTTAGAATCATTGATGCTATTTTTAGAATCATTGATGCTATTTTTAGAATCATTGATGCTATTTTTAGAATCATTGATGCTATTTTTAGCTCGTTACCATGCCCGCGCTATAGTCATGCTTTCTTTAATGCCTCGCTTTAGGACACGAAAAGCTACAAAAAAACAGACTTTTGTTTACGGCAAGACTAGAAGCCGCCTACCCTCAAGAAATCAACCAATCAGGTTCTTCGCTCAAAATATCTCCAAGCTAAAAATAGCATCAAACTGTGCACATGATAGTTACAAGGCTATATAGGTAGGATTCCTTCTCTTAGTTCATATTCTATTGATTATTGTTTATATCTTGAGTAATGACGTTAGCTGAAATCGTTCTATATTTATCAGCAGTACTTATCTGGTTAGGTTTTCCCACAAAACAGATTATTTAAAATGTTTCCTTTCTTTTTGTTCTCTTCGTTAGTCTTCATGTGACCCGATTCCCTGTGAGAACGGTGGAACATGTGTGCCATTCTACACCAACAACACGCATGTGTGTCAATGTACAAGTGCATATAACGGATCGGCATGCGAAAGTAAGTCTCTGATTCCATTTCATTTTCCAATTGGTGCTAGCAGTTAAGTTTAATCACGGGTAGCCCAAGCTTGGTTTCTGTGGTGTCATGTTATAAGAAAATGTATGGGGATTCTTCAAACATTTCAATATAATCATTGAAACTTAAAATAAAGCTTCGAAATTTTACCTGATCATTGAGAAATATCACTTCTTTCGCTCTGTGTGGTTATTTTTTGAATTTAGCCCGTTTTAAGGAACTTTTTCCCCCGCCTCTTGGGAAAATTCAAAAAAATAATTGTCTCAGACTGGATCTTATGTGAGTTACGTTTGTTTGTTGTGTTGTTCTCTCCCTTGCCACGAGGGTTTTCTCCGGGATCTCCGGTTTCCTCCCTCCGTTAAAGGGCCACTTGGACGAAAATCGCTCCAAAATTAAAACTCTTTCATTCGAGCTGGAACTTTGCTGAAATAATCTAGGATACATTAAGAACCACCCACTG